TGATTTTTTAAGCTTTTCCGTGTCTTGAAAAAGGCAGTTGCTAACAGTTGGCTAAATGGGACCACTGAGGTTGTGGGGGACATTAAAAGTCATCACACTGCACAGGAAAACTCATTTACTACACGTATAAATGAACTGAATTTTCTCCAAAATAACGCAACATGGACACATTCCCAAAAAGCTGGGGGGCAGATTCATCCACAAAAGAGCCCAGTGGATCCTTATCAGGGACCAAGTTTTTAAAATAAAGATTTGAAAATGTTGTCAGAAGCTTGGTGGTGGTGACGGTGATGTCATGCAACCATGGTGTAGTTCGTTTATAGCCTAACTTATTTTCCGCAATAATTCAAAGGCCAATGGAAAAATCCTATTGGCTTTTTGTCAGTGGAACCACGGTGATGCTAACTTCCGGGTTGGCCTACAAAAATACGTAATCCCTGCGACATTCTATTGAAGGAGACCAGCTTAAGGCCATTGCTGAGCAGATATTATCTACTGCATTACTGCATTTCATTACTCTGTATTCATACATGTGTAATGACAATAAAGTTGAATCTAATCTAATCTAATCTAATCTAGGAGATGGATCTGACACTCACATGGTAGAGTGTGTGGCACTGGTACGAGTGTATCAGGTACAGCAGAGTTGCTGAAGTTTTTTTTTTAAACAGTATATTAGAAAAAAGCTGACCAAGGACTTTCTCTCAAACAACATTAAGATAAGACTTGGATTTTCCAAAATGCACTCTTACAGATCTGGTGATATCATTTTACCCAGTAAGTAGTGGGATCCTGGCGTTGGTGTAGCGTTGGCGTGTCTTATTCATGACATTCAGTTTGGCTTTGTTTATTGTATTTAGTAACATGAGGCAAGTCTGGGCATGATTATGGTTTGTGCATTGTCCATAATATAATAGCCTAGTACACAAATCCTGTATCTGATTAGATTAGATTAGATTAGATGCTTATTATTAACTTTTGCTGTTGCTGTACATGTGTTGAACCTTGACTGGTCAGAACTGAAAACAGCAGCTTTGACGATAGTTCCAGCTGCAAGGCAAATCACAGGTTTATATTAATGCACTCCTTCTAATATGTTGTTTCTACTAACATCTTGCACAGGGACTTGCATGGCAGACACTTAGCATAATCAGATTAAGAAAGCGTGTAATTGTTGATAGGGTGATATACTTGTATTTTGTATTAATGGAAAGAGTCTTCAGCGTCAGTGCTTTCTAACAGTCAGAGGTAAAGCTGTAGATTGTCTGCTGTGGAACGTCTTCAGGATGGAGGGCTTTTTTCCATATTAAGTTCAGTAAAGAGGAAAAAAAGGAGACGTTGGTGAGGGAATGACTGTTTAGAGTTGTTATTACGTAATTGATAAAGGGAACCAACTTGTCTCGTGGACGTTCCGCAGCGTTAAATGTAACTACAAACCAATAAAAAGTATGATGGGCCATTTTCTAATAAATAGAAAAAGGGCAAATCGCTGTGGTTTAAAAGAAAAAGCAGTTATTCCAGTATGCCGTTAGGAGGAAATAGTGGTCAATACTAGGGAAGAATATGCATAAATGTGGCATGAGTTGAAGTCAGTGTGCTATTTATGTTTATATGTATTCAGTATGCGGAATGTGGTGTTGGGCACTTGCTCAGGAAGGTGACTGGTGGTGGTCTTGGCTCTGTCTGGCTGGCAGCAGAAAGAAAGAGAGGGTACCACAGCAGGTCACACAGCAAAGCATGGCAATGTGTGGACATCTTCCTGTTCAGCGTTCCAAATGAAACAGTTTGGCGTTTGGAATCGCAATCAGGCCTTGAGGCTACGTATAAAACACGCACAAACTTACCACACCTGCAAACAAAAAAGCATCAATGCTGATTTATTAACAGAAGAATATGTGTCGAAATAGCGAAATAGCACATTTTGTCCATTTTGTATGTTTGCCTTAAAGAATATGAAATTTAGTGCAAAATGTACAGTGTGGTGTCGATGTAAATAGACTCATTTAGCAGCCCTACTGTGATTTACAGCCTTAAATGTACTTCAGGAATGACAGTTGTGTGTGCCAGATAACCACTGCCTAATCATTTCCATAATGATAAGTAAATAAGTCAAAGATACGGCATTATTTTAATGCAGTTACTCATAATCATGTCTCTGTATTTCAAAATAGTTAATGTTTCTTGAAATTCTAGTTTAATGTTACTGTGGTAAAGTTGGTTTCGGGAGAATATTCGCCACTGACATCTTCGCACCTCCAAATTCAACAGTGAGTCGATGAAAAGGTTTTCTTTTACCATATGAACAGAGCACACTCAAGTGCACTTCTTTGGGTTAATATTGCATTTGGAACATGTCTCATGTTTTTAAGCAGTTAATCAGGTGATCTTCTTTTTATTTTTTATCATGTAAATGCTGCTTTTTCGGTCTACTTTATAAATCACCCGAAACACACGCATTACCTACACACACAATTGATTAGACTACATATTAACACTCTAAGTATACTGTAAGTTTATATATGTTAATATTCAAACGCTTCTAGGTGATTACACTGGAGGTGCCATGCATTATGCCAAGGGCCAGTTATAAACCATGTTAACTCTGAACGTCTGAATGTCCAAGTGAAAATGATTTATGCTTTAATTTTAACTTTTACTTTGCTCCTAATTGGAGCTTTCTCTTCTTATATTTCACTCTGTGTTGCTATGGATTATTGCACATCAAAGATTTGCACTTCCTAAAAAAAATGATTAAGCCAAAATTGCTTCAGTGGATAATGTCACGATAAAGTAGGTTTGTATCTAAGAGCTGCTGCTGTAATCATAAAGACTGTCCTGTGCTCATCCCAAGACTCTTCTTCACAGTCTGCTCATACAGAGCATACTGAAACACATTTACTGTTGTTTTTCTTTACTCTTTTGCCCCTGTGTACTATAATGATTTATAATTTAACTCTCCAGTGTCACCCGGAAGAGGATGGGTTCCCTTTGAGTCTCTCAAGGCTTCTTCCTCAGGTCTTATCAGGGAGATTTTCTTGCCACTTGCCGCCTCTGGCTTTCTTGTTGGAGATCTAAATCTACATCCAGATTTCTGCAAACCTGCTTTGTGAGAATGTCAATTGGTAAAATTGCTTTTACAAATAAAATTACATTGAGAACATCGCACTTTACTAAAAACGCTTTTTCCATAAAACATTTCTGACTACACACTGAACATGCTTAGTGCTCTCGCTGTGTCGTGTTCAGCAAACTGAAGGACGTAGATGTGCACTAATTGGAGCCTGGGGATGTCAAGGGCTCGCTCCTTTCAATTATTCAGTTTGGTTTGTCCATGCAAGAAAAAAAAAAAAAAAACGTGCTGAAAAAGATGATGATTCATTTCTTTAATTTTGGCTCTAGGCCAATTTGAGTATACGTATTATGCATACACAAATACAAATGGGTGTATTTTATTTTGAAATGTTATTCTAAAGAAGTGGATCAGTTGAGATTGCACTGGCCTAAACACATTCCTAAATCCTAAAAAATGACCTGGAATATCAACAAATCTGTGTGCTTTAACATCTGGCCCTGTGAGAAAGCATGCACAGTTTATTATTAGCACCAGCTCCAGGGATTTCTCTTGGTAGTCAAAGGAATAAAGTCACCATTCAGAGCCAAATCTTCCATGTCAACGATGATGGCTTGTGAAATGTAGAATCTCCCTCAAATGCAAATGTCTTAAAAGGTTTATCAAGGATTGTGAAAGAAATCAGATTGAATATGTAAGAGCATGAGCAGAATTTGTATCTATTTATGCCTTCCAACTTTATCTTACATTCAATATGCTGCACATTATAGTGAAAACTCCATTTTTTTTATTAACATGCTGGTAGTGGTGGAATCAAAGCACATGCTTGTTTGAGCTCATGGTTTGAATGTAAAGGGCTTTTTGTGTGTCTTTGACGTTAAGAGGAGCTCGATTTCACCATCACGCTCATTTCCAATTCTCTGAATTAAATGCATCTCTGTTCTGTTCATGCCACTTTCTTAAAATCTCCAGGAGACACAGTACAACTACTGTCCCGCTCCTCCTAGCCAGTGCATTCTAGCCTGTTTCATCTCATTTACTGTATGCAAAATGGTGTCCTTGGCCTGGAAAGGAGTATGAGCAGCATTAGTTCACTTCTTTGGCAGGCTGAGATTAAACGGCATAATCCTACTGATTTTGGCAGCAGACGTCCAGCTGGAGTAGCCTCAAATCCCTCAGGGCCTGAAGTGCAGGATCTCTTAAAGGATCTCTTAGATCCGGGAAATGGAGGCTGCCTGTATTTCTTTCAACAGCTCCTGCTCAGAAGTCTGAATTTCTCTTTGTCAGTTCTTGATCATTCTGATTTGTCCATTAATCGCTTTTAGTTTGCACAATGCATTCAGTAGTTACTTGGCTCATTTGCTAATCAGTGGGTTTTATTTGTGAGGCATGAGGTGGGGGAAAATCCACATGTGCTAATGTTTCTGTTGATTGCCTTCTTTCACAAACTCTCTATATTGCCCTGGGCTGCAGTTTTAAATGGCGAACCTGTTTTCTTTTTATCATGTGAGGCTCTTGGCAATGTCAAAGGATTAGGTTTCAGTGCTCAAAGAAACTAGTAGTTATGTAAGGAATAAAATTTGACACTGTTAAAGAATAATAACCCACAAAGTGATGGTGTGATACGGCCCAATGCGAATAACCCTGAAGTGAATTATTTTTCTATAATGGCATGACAAGAGCATTAATATAAACCTGTGATTTGAATTACAGCTGGAACTACTGTCAGAGCTGCTGTTGTTCTTCTTCTTCCGGCTGCTCCCCTTAGAGGTCACCATAATGGATCATATTTGATAGTCCGCATTTTTGATTTGGCACAGTTTTTTTTTCCCCGAATACCTTTCCTGACGTAACCCTTGCCAGTTTTATCTGGGCTTGGGACCGGCACTGGGAGTGCACTGTCTTATGCAACCCCAGTGACTGGGGTCGGTTCCCTGGCCGGGAATTGAACCCAGGCCATGGCGGTGAGCGCGTGGCGGCCTAACCACTCGTCCTCCAGGGACCTTCTGTCAGTGCTGCTGTTATGGAAAGTTAATCAACACATATTTGCTCGAATGGCTTGCTTTCAGAATTGTTTGTAATAATTACATTTAGTGATGCACCAAAATGTCAGCCCCCAGACAACTTTTTGAGTAAAAAAGTTTTACCTGAGAGCTTTTGCTCAACAAGTTGGCCAGAGCACCTGAAAGCACAGCATCCTGGCTCATATGCAGATTATGCAATAACAAAAAAAACCCACTTTGCTTTCAGTGCCCTTGTTGTCCTGAATTTTGCATTTACATTTACATCATTTGGCAGACACTCTTGTCCAGAATGATTTACCGAGGTGCTTCGTAGTCTTTGTAGTCAGAAACACATCCTCATGCTAGTACAGATAGGTCAGAGTTTGAGAATCTGATTGAGCTGAAATCCTTTTAAAGAGGAATAACAAAACTTGGTGAAGAGGTAGGTTGTCATTTGGAGATAACCATTTTGGTTTTGTCTGGCATTCTGATGCATCAGCAGTTACATTCAACATCCAGCACTATAACACTGTGACTGTGAATAGTGATATGAGAGGATAAAGATCTTGATTTTGCATTCCAAATTTTCTCCAGAATGATCAGAGGCATGCTTTTTACATGTTACGCCTTGTAGTGAGATGTTCAGTAATGTGATTGAACCACTGATATGAGCCATAGGCAATGACAGAGCTAACAGAAAAAAAGGGAAGAGACGTCTAAGTGCCTCTTATTAGCAACGGACTTTAGAGAAAGAGGACAGGCTTGTGGAACTCTGACAATGCACGAGTGCCTTTATTATTAAAACCAGAAGTGGGCTAAATAAGGAATACAACTTAGAGTTGTGCTTTTATGGGAAAATAATCAATGACAGAGTGGTATGATGCACTCAGTGTGTATATTAATCTGTTTGTTATTAGCGTTAGATTATGTACAGTGTACGTCTTATAAACCCCTGTTAATGAACTGTTACTATAGAAGCCAAAGCATATTATTATTATTATTATTATTATTATTATTATTATTATTATTATTATTATGTTATTGTATTGACCACATTGATATAAACATGTGGTTTGAATTACAGCTGGAACTACAGTCAGAGCTGCTGTTACAGAAAATTAATCAACACCTTCTGAACAACCCGATTTGAGAATTCAACAGCCCTGTGGTATAAGAGAAGATTATGCTTCTTGTTTGTGTATATAAAAGGTACAAACAAGGTGTGCTAAAGATCTTTCTTTTTTTGTCACATGATAATGAGCTTTTCCCTCACTCTCTCCACATTTGGATTTTATAGTTCTCTATATGCAGTGACAAAACCTGTTGTGTCTTTTCCGTTGTATGCATGCTTAAAAAAACAAAGCCCACTCTTTTTGTGAAAGGCGTGTTGTGTACACACGGCTTTAGAAACTGGTGTGTGTTTAGGTCTCCTTCTTCTGCCAGATCAAAATCCAGCCCTATTGTTGCACTCGGCTGCTCACTTCATAAACAGGAAGTCAAAACTCTAACTGAGAGCAGAGATCTCTTAGTGAAATTAGTGCGTGCGCACACACACACACACACACACAAGACAGATGGGTAATGCAGTGAGATGTAATAGAAAGATAGACCCTGTGAACAGGCCCGAAACAGGAACAGAGAGAGAGAGAGAGAGAGAGAGAGAGAGAGAGGAGGGGGAAGAGATGGTTTTCATGGTATTATATTACATTTTCTTACTAGGCTTACTAAAGAAAAAAAAACTGAAAACCATTCTTCCTGCAGACACAGTGATGATCTTTCCTGAGCCCAAACCCAAAATCTGGAATGCGTTCTTTTTTATCTTTCCACATATCATGTGGATTTCAGGGGGAATCCAAATTCTCAGCAATCACACACTTTCAAAACCTGCCTTGAATCATTTTACCAGCCTGAATAGAGGAAATGGCATCTTATTATGATTGGGAGCATTTGTATCATGTCTCTGTTTTCTCTCTAGCTAGCTTCATTGTTCTGCTATGATAAACAGTATTTGTTGTCCAAGAGACGCCACCGTGTGACTCGACATTAATAAATAAACGGAGAGGGAAACAATACAGACAGGGCCGTGAGAATGGCATCTGGCTGCTCTGCCTCCTTGAATGTGATCATGTCTCTTGCCAAGGACTGATATTCTCACAAAGGACGGCAGTCTGGACTGAGGAAGTGTGTCCTGCAGGGTCACTCAGCCATGAAGATACATGGCAGGTTTGGTACAGTTCATCTCATCAATCCTATAGGAAAAACTCTTTTCTGGAGTTTTATCCACAGTTACGAATCAGTCTCATCCACGTTGTATTCCCACTTCACCACTAGTGTTCCCAGGACGGGCTCTTGGATCCACCTTGATTTTGCCCAGGATAAAGATCTGAAGTTGAATGAATGAGTGAGTTATGTGTTATGACCATGTGTGCAGTGTATTTGCTATCACTCTTTTAAATATGGGTCATGTTTAATAATGTGAACAGCTGTTGTAAGAAACTAAAACAAGACCCTTAGCCTTACTGGATGTGATTTCAGTTTCCTGCCCATGCTACATTGTTCTGTTGCGAGTTGTAAATATAGAAATCAATATGGATGTCGAGCCCAGATGCCTGGGTAATGAGACTGAATGGGGGTTGGGCAAAGGTTAGCTTTAGATAATGAGAACAATTGGTTTGTATTTTTGCGGTCTTTACAGAATACATCATGCTCCTAATATGTCAGGGGTATAATGCAATGCCACTATTTGTACCTGTATCTGTATATGTTTAGTGCTTCAATAATCCATGTTTACCTTTGTATTTAGATGTAAACCTGAAGTGGTTGTAGTTTAGTTGGTTCTATTTCCCAAAATATAAACAAACTAGTAGCCTAATTTAAACTTTTCTTGCTTTGTCCCATGAGGTACAAATCTAATGCTCACTCATGCCCACATGAAAGTGTGCAAATATTTGGTTGCTTACCCCAGGATGCCAATCTCAACACACACCTTTAGTATCAACCAGATGCTCCGTGAACCTTAAAAAATATATATATTATGTGTTAATTCCAAACAGTGTATTTGCATTTGGTTACATCACTATGATATGGACATATAGTAAAGACAAAGACTAAACCACTTAGAGAGAGAGAGAGAGTGAGAGAGAGAGAGAAAGAGTGTGTGTGTATCTGAGTTGACCTTAGCATGATAATCTAATCCATGTTGAGAGGGAGAGCTTTTTTAGAGAGCAAGTTAATACCATCAGATTATAGTCCAGCCCCAAACCAGAGCAAGCCACTGTGCAACAGTTACATTCTGAGACAATGAGGACAGCTAAGACAAAAATGGATGAGCTGATAAAAAAATTTCAGTTTATTGCAGTCTACTTATGTCTGAACACATACACTTTTATCTACTCCTACAGTGAGGATTTAACCAGAGCACTTGTAAATATTATCTAACATCTAACATCTAACATCAGAGATGAGGGAAAGAGATGGCTCTCTTCTGCAGGAAACGTCTGCGTGTATACATGTAGTGGTCAGGGTGGACATATCAGAAATTTATTAGCTAACTCACCAGGCAAATAAAATCTCCAGCGTGCTGCCCAGTCCTGCCCAAAAAGTGGTAGTTAACGAAATGCAGCGTAGTAACATGTGGCAAGTTTGCTAGTTAAATGCATTAATACAGACTAATGGAAACAAAAAAGTTTTATTATTGTTATCCTCCTCTAACAAAGTTTCTAATATAGCACACTGTGTTTGTGCCCTTGACAAAAAAGTCAGCAAGTCTTTGACAAGCCATGATGTCTTATCCTCGCACCACGTGTAAAAGATTTATTGATTTATTTATTTAGTACAAGTTATGTTACCACTTCACTAATCAGCCCATGGAGGTAAAATCTGTGAAACTTCTTCCTGTCTGATTTAATGTCTCTAGCCTTGTGACTAGTGTCTGGTCTGATGAGCTGGTTCATGTTTCAAAATCTGGAGTCGCTAATCTACAGCCTATTTTTTTTTCATATATTGATCAATCTACTACAATATTTTTCAGTTCAGACCACTGAAATCTTTTCCTTTGTTCACATCTAGTGACCCCTAGGCTGGAAGGTAGCGGCCTTGACAACCAGTTAGATATAAAGCAAACATTTGGTGATTCTTTTAAATAACATGTGGGCTATGGTACCATTTATGAATCACCGTTTTGGTGCAATCCTGGAATCTAATGGCCTCTCGGCTGTTAGGGGCTTGTTTAATTTCAGATAATGCTGTCAATCAAAAAGTGTCAATCATTTAAGCAGTTGAGAGGAATATAATCCTGGCTCATTCATCACACCTTTTGGGGAGCGACTCTGGCCATACCGTAAAGATTTTACAAGAGGACTGATCTTAGGTCACACACTACCAAACTTTTAGTCACTATGTAAGGAGGGTTTAACGTGAACTCATAAAGAAGCACAGATCTTAGATCAGATTTCTGGATTACGACTGATTCAGGACTAGAGAAGTGGCTCTGTACCTGCAGGTCTACATTTAGACTCTCTGTTAATGTGCTTCAGTGGAGCATAAGCCACTGCAGTGCTATAATCCTATCAGCAGATGCCCATTGCACCCTCCTAACACTCACATAGTGATCCAGGGAAGGGTCTGTTCAGCCATGCTGAGGTTTCCATGACCTGTTTGCTGACAGTATTGTGTAAAAACAACCAATATTTAGTGATGATGTTTGAATAATTAAGTTTAATAAATTTTATGCAACCTTAATATGGAAATATGACAAAAGGTAGCATAGTATTTGTTAGAAAAGAGTTGTCCGTATTGAATTTGCTCCGTTGCACCAGCATCACCTCTTTTGCAGTTAACATTACTAATACATTTTGGGAGCTGGTTGTCAGCAAATGCATTCAAGATTTGTGTGTTCTTTGGAGAACCACTTACTGCATATACACAAACATATGGATATCTTACATATATATATAAAAGGCACTTCTTAAAACAAGTACGTATCTATGTGTGCATATGT